TGTATATTTTCTAATTGAATCTGCTGTCCAGACACTGGGTCTGGTTCTGATTTCTTCTACCTGGCCCTCTGGACCAGTTTTCTGACACTTGTTACTCAACCTTACCTATGTATGTGTTTCCCAGGCCTCAGAATTATTGCTGTTTGACTCTCCAGATTCTAATCTGGATGAGCTCCTTTGCCCTTTATTTCTTCTGTGTTCCTCCATCACTTTGTTAAGGTCCTAGACCTGGTGTGCTGCCCTTATCCACGGACTTCCTGACTCCTCTAGACCTTGATATCCATCAGAACCTCCCTTGCCTCAACAATTTTCTGGCCTTACTCACTGGTAGCCCTAATTCCCACACTGTTTAACAAAAGGAGCAGAATTTATGATGGTCAAGGGTATCATTTATTACTACGAGCTTATGGTTATTTACTAAGAAGTAGAGATAGATATACACATAAATCCATATGACTATTCTCTTCTATGTTAGGGGATAAAATAATTTCCATTAAGCAAATTTGAATAATAATTGAAGTGGTTTAAGATATGAAATAGAAAATGGATATTAAGCAATCTGAAGACAAGGAATTCATAAGCATCAAGCAAGGTCTGGGAGTAAATTTTTTAAAACTTTACTCCAAACAATTACATATTCTATACAACAGATAGCTTTTCATATTGCTCTCCATAAATAAAAAATAAGTAAATGCAAGATACGAATGAATCTTTGGGGCAAAACTGCTAGAAAAAAATCTATGTAAAGGACCCACAGAATTTACCCCCATGGTGAAACGGTTACTTATGGCTCAGTCATTTTAAACCGTGGTTTTTCCTTCTCAGACACATCAACCAACCTCACTATCAAAAGGCAAGGACTGGTTAACAGATTCCATTCTATTACATTTCATCGCTAATATCATCTCCTCTCTTTTCCTACTTTTAGTTTCTGCTGGTTCTCTTCAGGAACTCAGAGAATAGAGGAATGGGCAGCTATCACCCATTTGAGAATAAACAGAACCAGTAGCTTATTAGCTCCGAAGTTTTTGCCAGACTGATGAAAATCCTGCTTCTGTCACAGACCGACAAATTAGTATAAAAGAAAGATTATGTAGCTATGCTCAAACAGTTATCAGGGGACCTGAAAGCAGTATCAGAATATGCTTCCTGACATCAGTAAAATTCTTCCAGGCAGGAAACTGTAAACATTATCAAAAGTCCTAATAATAACTGTAGTCCTCTGAGGGTGAGTATGCACTGAAAGTTGTGTTCCTGAAACTGACCCTGGAAAAATATTTACATTCAAGTAGTTACAAAATACTTTGCAAATCCACTAATGCACTAGCCTTTTGAAAACGCTAACTATGCAAACACAGATCTATTTTCCAGATTGCAGGAGAGAAACACTAAATACAACAAAAGATTTGCACCTGTAATTCAAGTCTGAAATGCATCTCAGATATCAATTGCCAATGTAGAAAAAAAAGAAAAAAACAGGTCACTGGTGTTTTGTTAACAGGAAACTGGAAAATGATATCCAAAGGTTTAAGACTCCTTTGAGAAGATGAGAGACAGAAGGTAATACTGAGGATTGATCTAACTCCAAACCAATGAAATGCTAAAGGATGGAAGCACCAACCCAGAGAGCAGCTTCTGTCATCAGGCTAATGCCCAGGACTGTGTTGACTGTTATCTGGAGAATGTGCTACTCAGTGATAGGTTTCCATGGATGGGGTCCACTGTTAGTTGACCTTCTAAATTTTTAATTAAAAAAATCACATCAGGGCCAGGAGCGGTGGCTCACTCCTGTAATCCTAGCACTTTGGGAAGCCAATGCAGGTGAATCGCCTGAGGTCAGGCGTTCAAGACCAGCCTGGCCAACCTAGTGAAACCCTGTCTCTACTAAAAATACAAAAAAATACAAAAAAAAAAAAATTAGCGGGGCCTGGTGGTGGGTGCCTCTAATCTCAGCTACCTCAGAGGCTGAGGCAGAAGAATCACTTGAACCTGGGAGGCAGAGGTTACATTGAGTTGAGATCATGCCACTGCACTCCAGCCCAGGCAACAGGAGTGAAACTCCATCTAAAAAAAAAAAACAGAAATTTTTTCTAGTCAGTGATTCCTTTGAGAATATGATGAATTTTTAGACTTCTCCCTGAAGGAGTAAAAATGAAGATAAAGTATAAATTTTACAAACAGTTATAGAGAATTCATGGACCAGTGCTTAACTTGTAAATCTACCAGTCATATATTGAAAATCTTTGCATTAGACTAATTAGAAAAAAAAAATGGTTGTAAACGGAATAATCTGCTGATGACATTTCAAAGGATATAAATAATATTGGGGATGGGGTTAGGGAAGAGACACAGCCCCAACCTGCAAAAGGCTCCTGGCCCAAGTGTTCACATGTCAGAAGTGAATAATCCCCTTACTGCAAAACCTCCTAAGAGAACCTCTAGGTTTTCTAGGTTACTATGTGTTAGTACGTCCTTTTTTTCCAATCTCTCTGTCTATTCTATACTCTCCTTAAGTATTCCTCACTCCTATTTGTTATTTTTCTCAGTTATCTTCTACCAACCCATTTCTCTCATCTTTTGATTTTTTTCCCCTAATCTTTAGTGACTCTACTCCTGACCCGTGAAGTATAAGCCAGTAACACATTTCTACACAGCTCTAGGAACCTAAGTACACTAAGCAACCAACACATTAAGCTTCTTGAAAAGCTTCCTCAATGCTGGAAGCAATGCTTGATGAATTTAAAATTGCAAGACAGAGTAACTCATAAAAAATGTGGGAATGAGACTGAACTACTCAATGCTAAAGTAAATCATTCATTCAGTTGACAACTGCAGAGTTTTCTGTCATAGTTCCAATGGACGGGCCATAACCAAGAATGAATGACTGCCATATGATTATCTGGAAAAGGAAAGTTGCAAAGAGAAGTGATCAGAAGTCCAGGCAGCAAAGAGTAATCAGAGATAAGATAATTTTCTGGAACAAATACATCATTTAGAGTACGTTTAAAGTGGCAGGAGACTCTGAAAACAGCAGCAGCCACCAGGATTCAAAGGACAGTGTCATGTGGAATAGACATCTGTCTTGCATCAGTCTTCCCAGATATATCAACACTTCCAGTCAGGAAGTATAGGCAACAGGGTGGTCTTGTACCACAGAACACTAATGCAAATTTTTTAAAACACCATCAGATTTTTCAAGTAGCTTTGAAAAATCAATAAAAAGTCTTGGTTATATTTTATCATTATGTACCATAAAACAAAAAAGAATGCATATGAATTGGTTTTCTTCAGGTAGTCAGTGAAGCATGGCAAAGCACCAAGAAGAGGAAATAAATGTCTTCTTTTGAGAAGTGTCTGTTCATATCCTTTGCCCACTTTTTGATGAGTTTTTTTTTCTTGTAAATTTGTTTAAGTTTCTTAAAGATTCTGGACATTAGAACTCTGTCAGATTCTCTAGGCTCTGTGTTCATTCTGATGCTGGTTTCTTTTTCTGTATAGAAGCCATGTTCACCTCTGTAACAAACCTGTATGTTTAGCACATGTATCCCAGAACTTAAAATAAAATAAAAGGAAGAGAAAATAATGAAGTGAACATGCTGGACCCAGTTTACATGGCTCTCTTGAGTGATCAAGTATCAAAATAAACAAAGAAACACTTTGCGCAATTACTAAATACAAGACAGTGTTCCATGCTATAGACCAGTGACTTTCAAATTCAACTGTCCAGAAAAATTATCTGGATTCTTTTTTAAAAAATCAGATTATTGAGACCCTTCTTAAAACATTGTAGAATCCCCAAGCTGAGATCCTAGATTCTAGGTTTTTTAAAGACACCTTGGGTGATTCTGATGTATCTAGTTTGGAAACTACTCCCACAACACATGTATTAGATTGATGGAAAAGTAATTGCAGTTTTCGCAAATGAAAGCAATGGCAAAAACCAACAATTACTTTTGCACCATCCTAATAGAATTACTAAGACACCAACCAAATAGAATTAATAAGGCATAGTCCCTTTCTCTTCTTTTCTTGGAATCAACCCAAATTCCCATCAACAATAGACTGGATAAAGAAAACGTGGCACATATACACCATGGAATACTATGTGGCCATAAAAAATATGAGTTCGTGTCCTTTGCAGGGACAAGGATGAAGCTAAAAACCATCATTCTCTGCAAACTAACACAGGAACAGAAAACCAAATTCCACATGTTCTCATTCATAGGTGGTAGTTGAACAATGAGAACACATGGACACAGAAAGGATAATCATCACATACTGGGGCCTGTTGTGGGGTGGGAAACAAGAGGAGGAAGAGCATTAGGACAAATACCTAATGCATCTGGGGCTTAAAACCTAGATGACAGGTTGATAGGTAAAGTAAACCACCATGGCACATGTATTCATATGTAACAAACCTACATGTTCTGTACATGTATCCTATAACTTAAAGTGAACCTGGAAACCATCATTCTCAGCAAACTGACACAAAAACAGAAAAGCAAACACCACATGTTCTCACTCATAGGCAGGTGTTGAACAAGGAAAACACATGGACACAGGGAGGGGAGCATCACACACTGAGGTCTGTGGGGGGAACTAGGGGAGGGACAGCAGGGGGTGAGGAGTTGGGGAGGGATAACATGGGGAGAAATATCAGATATAGGTGATAGGGAGGAAGGCAGCAAACCACATTGCCATGTGTGTAGCTATGCAACAATGCTGCATGTTCTTCACATGTACCCTAAAACCTAAAACACAATAAAATATATATTAAAAAAAGATAAAATAAAAGGCATAGTCTCTGTCCTCATGCATTTTAGAGTATAATTTTTGAGAAAATGTGTAAGTATAGATAAAATGTGAATGTATCAAGTCTCAAATAACAGTACAGCAACACAGAGGGCAGCACAATGAAGTCAAGAATCATCCATTTTTTATCCTATCCTTTGTGCACTGAGAAGAGAAAGTTATGATACAAACATTGAGCAGAACAAAAAAAGCATTATCTTATTTTACTGAATTATTTCAGGCTCTAATCAAAATTTACGTGGTTGCAAAAGACACTGTGCTGAACAAAAATACAAGTAAATTAAAATCATTTTAGCCATAGCAAAAATGATTTCTCCCAGGTTTAAACATGTAAATCATTCCCCAAACTAACAATTAGCACAGGGCTAACAATGAAACAACATTTATAATAATAATAAAAGCACATGAGAATAATGTATTAACATCTTTTAAGTTTTAACAGCCCCTAAAAAATAATTTTTATTTTAATTTGCTTAATTAATTAAATTGACTGAATTCATCTGGCAGTAATCTAAAAATCTAGCTACAAGTTATAAATGCATCATTGTATGAAAATGAAAGGGAAGAAGAAATATAAAAGCATAAAATGTACAAGAAGGTAACCAAGTTCTTGGTGAATTATCTGTTTCATGTTCAAAAACCCGAGTTCTGGTCATGGGTCTTCTGAGCCTTGACCTGCTCAGGTAGCTTCCATGTTACCCACAAGTGTGGGGCAGGCCTTGCTTACTAACCAACAGAGCTCCATGAAATTATTCTCAATCAAATCTTGACTTTCGAGTACTGGCTGCGCTAGAATTCTCAAGGGCCCTGTTACACATCCTGCTTCTTGATCTTGGACCTCCAAAGACAACTCTTTCTCTGGTCTATGGTATGCTGTTGCTGTACCTATGCCCACAGCCCATGTTAGTCTTTAATCAACATGTATTTTACAGTTGGATAATATTTCCAACAAGAATTGCATATATACTTGAAATGTTGTACCTAAATGTTGTACCTATACTTGAAATGTTGTACCTAATAGCATTTTACCACATTTGATGGATGTGGTAAAAGGCTATTATTTATTTCATTAATAAATAAAATTTTTATTAATAAATAAAATAAAAATGTATTAACATTTTGAGATATTAATAAACTAATCAACTATTTAGCTCTCTTAATATCAGCTTATCATCAATGTACTAGTTACCTGCAGATATGCAAAGGAAGTTTAAAATGTGTTACCTGTTCTTAGAAAATTTAAAATACAAGAAAATACTATATTTATGTATAAGAAACCATGGAAGTAATGTAAAACAATACAAAGCAATTGTATAAGTTGTGATGTTCCCTCCAAATAGTAGAGAATTAAAGAAAAAGGAAGTTGCCTATACCCAGAAGTGCAGAAGCAAGGCACAGTATCATAGAAAGAACATTGTTTTTGAAATTTTTAAGGCTTGAGTTCTAGCCCTGACTCTGCTCTGTAACTAAGAGTCCTTATCCTCACTGCTCTATGTCTCAGAGGCCATGTATTATAAAACAGATCGAATTAAGTCAGTGTTCTTAACTGGAATAAAGGGAGCCTCAGAACCATCATGAATAATTTCCAAACTCACACCATCCCTCCCATTGTCTGGAAGATTCAGACATTACCCATCCTCCACACCTTCACATGAAGTTGTACAGAATATGGCATCCCAGTTTGAAGAAGACTCCCTGTAATTCTGTTGTCTTTCCATGCTTTCCATTTGAAAGCCACTGAGTTAGATGGTCTTCAAGGACTTTCCTATTTCTCACTAACTGTTCTCAAAACGTCAGCACCACATTGGAAAAGCTTGATCTGCAGTCTTACCCTATAAGATATTAAATAGGCAGAAACAGTCATCCTCAAGGCTTTATGTGAATAAAAATTCATTTCATAAGCATTTATTAAACACCTACTTTGAGCCAACACAGTCCTGAGGACTCAATGATAAGCCAACAAGCAAATATATACACAACTGAAAGGTTTATCCCAGATCTCATGAAGCCTGACCTTTCTAGCCCTGTCCCAAGAGATTCTGGTTCCAGACCCTCTATAGGAATATCATGAGGCCATACACAGTAACTTAACTGTACACAGAAGTGATTGTAAAGTGCATGAATAAATCCCACTGAACTCATTAAATGTATCCTCAGTTAAACTTCCCTTCAGATGAGTCGCCAGAATACCTATTCTACCACTACCTGTCACCAAGGGAGGTATACAGAAGGGAAATCAATAGGGAAAGAGATATTGTTCCTAATGCAGTTAAAATGTCTCACTTTTACCAACTTTACAAACATGTAACCACGTATCACATTGCTATAGCTATTTGCAGAGACTTCGGAAGGACACAGTCAAAGCAGAGTTTCTAAAATGTAAGCTCCACTGTTTTCACTGTAAATCTCCCTCTGGTTGGGGCTATGGGTTGGCAGCCAACAGACTAAAGCCAGAGGCAAGCATAAAGCACTGTCTGTGCGAAGTAGATAGTGTGGAATCTGAGCTTAATTCTAGCTCTATCTTAGAAGCTTAATTAATATTTTCCACGAGTTAATGTATCATTAAAACCTCCTGATGTTTCCCTACAGTAGTGACTCTTAAGGAAGGAGGAGATAAGAGTAGTTTCAAATTGTCCTCTGGCAGTGGGAAGTATACATACTAGTTTGAAAACTCATATTCAGTGTTTTTTTAACACAAATGACAGAAGGTCAGATTTGACAAAATCTTCTTCTTTTGTGGGGATATAGAGATCATAGAGTGAGAAAGCACTACAGAAGTTGTAGATTTTAGAGAAGTAAGCTCCTTCAAGATTAGAAGGTGGGAGCCACTGCAAACAGTGTCTCAGTGCCTAAGGGACAGGTAAAATGGAGAGAGAGAGAAGAGCATGACTGGTCTCCAACAGGCTCAGGTTCCTCATCTGTGTCTTTCCTGGCTCCCTACAGGCAGATCAGCAAGCAATCAAGAGGCGGGGGTGGATTATCACAAGACTATCACGGGACTTAGTCCCTCCAGGGGAACCAGGAATATTGAAGTCAGACGTGAAGGGGTTTTTATATTATGCTGAGGGGTTTAGATTTTATCCTGCAATCCATGGGTGCTGATGGTGACCAATTTGGTGTTTGGTAAAATAGACCTGGTCATGATGAGGGGGTCGGACTGACACCAGGAAGACTCAAGGAGAACCTCCAAAACAGTTAAGGGTCTGTGGCACTTGTCCTGCTGAGAGATGATGAGGCACTGACTGAGGGCAGTGGCTATAACTGTGAAGACCATGGGCCCTGGGGCTACAGGAGGGGAGGAGGTAGCAGCATCACTCCCCTCTGGCCCCCTCCCGGACAGTGCTCACTCACTACTCACCTACCACCTACCCGAGATAGTCACATATCATGACTCGTCAAGAGCCACAGTTCTATTCTAGCTTCATACCCATATCTCTCTAACATGAACATGTCTTGTTTAACTTGGAGAAAGCTGAGAACGAGCATGAAGGATGCTATGAGAAAGTAGGGCCACACTGAGGACCTTCCAGTGCCCACCTAATTTGTTACTAATATCTGCAGTACCATCAATATCATGTACCAAATGGATTGCATCTTCTAGGACTGAATTTTTACTATGTCCTAATGATGTAGAACAATCTAAGCAACTGCAGACTTCAATGCCTGCCTTAGCCAAGCCTGTCTGGATTTCTTAGAGTTCCCCCAGGCAATTTCCTGTCAAGCTAGACAAGCTTCAGAACGCTCCTAATGTATCTGTTAGAGACTCAGAACTGCCTCCTCTGTCTGATTAATTTCCCAAAGGGTCTAAGCTGTTTGTTTCAGAACCATTCTGCTTCAGATCAAGAGCTAAAAAGACCCATCAAGATTGCAAAGGATCAAGGAGCCAGATGGGGCATCCTCTATAGGACACAGGTTAGTGTTAAAAAAAAAAAATTCAAACTGTCTGGCTTCACCTGCCTTTCATGCAAGTTCTCCACAACTACAAGGAAGGTGAGGAAGATGGGTGGTATTTTCTGACAAAAGAAAAATAGTCATCTACAAAACTTACATAAAAATGCAAAGTGAATCCCTATACTCTTTGCAAAAAATACATATGTACCTGTGAATATATACACTATATATTCCATATCTTCCCATATATTTTAAATATATATGTACCTTAAGTAAAACTTCTTATGTATTCTTAGGTGAAACTTCTCTGGTTTCTTCTTAAATATTCTTTAAGATGCAAGCTTTCCCAAGATTTTTTAGGAGTGAGAGATTTAAAAAAAAGTATGTAAGAATCACTAACTTCAGGTTGCTTCACAACTCATATCCCATGCCTAGCTCCTCCTGTTATTTTCCCAATTTTATTCTGTGTCATCCCTCAGTAATCAAAAGGATTGCTTCCAGTACTCTAAAGGACACCAAAATCCAAGTCTGCTGAAGTCCCTAATATGAAATGGTGTCGTATTTGTATTTGGCCTACACACATCTTCCCATATATTTTAAATCATCTCTAGATTACTTACAATACCTAGTCGAGTATAAGTGTTACGTAAATAGTTGTTACACCACAAATTGTTTTTTACTGTTATTTTTTACTGTTGTATTTTTATTGGTTTTTAAAATAATAATAATAGAATATTTTTTATCCACTGTTGTTTGAATCTGTGAATGTAAAACCCTCTAATATGGAGGGTGACTCTGTTAGTAAAATTATATGATGCTCCTGTATTTGAACCTGGCTAGATATAACCACTGATCTCCTTTGAACAACAATATTCTTTTCTCTACCAGCCCACTCAGAAAATAGCAACAGAATCTCCAAGCCATAAAACAGTCATCTTCCTCTTAATTTTGAATTACTGAATTCTTGATTTATGACAGAGATTTTCAAACTTGACTGCCAATTAATATCACATGCGGAATTTTTAAAAATACAGACACCAAGGTACCACCCCCAGGGAGTCTTAGTTGGTCTGGGCTGCAGTCTAGGCATTGGAATCTTTCAAAACTTTCCAGATGATTCTGAAGCCAAGGTCAAGACCCTCTAATAGAGGGATCCCATGCAGATGGAGAGACCTACAAGGATTGGACCAGAGGAACCCAGCTCAAGCATTTGCTTCTCTGGGTGCCTGTCAGAGCTCCCCAAATGTTGACCACATCTTCCTCTATTCCCTTAAAGTAGCTCCTCTGCAGTGCCTCTCCTGTTGATTTGTGTTGATTTGCTTCTATATTCCTCAGTTCTTCACTGTGCACTCCTGAAAGCAGAGATCATTTTTCTTTCATCCCAAATGGAACACTGAACCACAGAGAGACCCTGACATATAGAAGGTGCTCAGTGAATGTTTGTGGCATTCAAACTGACAGTGTGTATTCCTTCTAACTGACCAAAGTAACCAGGCTAAAGCAATTCTGTCCAGAGAGCCAGAACTATGGTGCTGCAAAGTTAACACTTGAAGGATACCCTGAAAGGCATCCCACAAACAAACCAGCTGCTCATCAATAATGAGAAACAAGTGTGTGGCAGTTCTGGTGCTGATAGTTTATGATTTGCAAAGTGTTCTTTCTGGAGACTCCTTAAGTGTGAATATAATTAAAGCCTCTGAATATTACTTCTTCCATTGTGCCTGGCACTAGTCCCTGCTCATTGTTCAGATAAGACAAGACTGATGAATGTGAATGTGTCTGAAGTTAAAGTAGGCAGGAGATAATAAAAAAGGCTGATTGGAAAGTCCTTATCAACTCAAGAGAGTTCTGAGATAGAGAGAGCATGAGGACTCCAGGCATCCCTATCTTCCAAAGTCATGAAGGGGAACTGCAGTTGCTGCAAATTCTGAAACTCCCTCTCCACTGACACATACAAGTCAGCAGGGTCATTTATGCACAACTCCAGGCAGATTAATATTCTATGGGAATGGTAACCCCTGTGTCCTGTAACTTGGCAGCCCTCAAATTGCCTGTGGCGGGAAGCTTCACAGCAGATGTAACACAAGGCTACTTTTATTATTAATAAGCTTCAAAAAGATCAAAATCCCTTATAGTAATTATGCCTGCTGTTCACAACATAGTCCTGGATCTCCCTCTGAAACAAACCCAATGGTCCCATGGACAGTCTCATGACTTGCATCCCATTACTGTCATGAGAGAGGACAGCTCTATCTTTAGTGTATCAGTTCATCCCTAGAACAAACTGTTTATGGGATAAACATAGAAATTGACACTTCTGTTGTTAAAGCTTGAAACTTGTATTTGTTTTATCTGAGTTCCTTTCTGATATGGTTTGGCTGTGTCCCCACCCAAAACTTCATCTTGGAATTGTAATCCCCATAATTCCCATAATTCCCACATGTCAAGGGAGAGACCAGATGAAGATAATTGAATCATGGGGGCAGTTTCCCCCATGTGGTTCTCATGATAGTGAGTTCTCACTAGATCTGATGGTTGTATACATGTTTGGTAGTTCATTCTCCTTCCTCTTGCCTTGTGAAGAAGGTGCCTTGCTACACCTTCTGCCATAATTTTAAGTATCCTGAGGCCTCCCCAGCCATGCTGAACTGTGAGTCAATTATATTTCTTTCCTTTATAAATTACCCAGTCTCAGGCAGTTCTTCATAGCTGTGTGAAAACAGACTAATATACTTCCTCAGGAAAGGACCTTCAGACCTCTCAAAAAAAAGTATCAAAGAACTGAAATTCACCAGATCACTACACCAGATGCCTCCTAGCCCACCAGTTCCTGTTTTGTTTTTTGATTTTTTACATATTTTTACATTTTTCCCCTGCTATATCGAGTCCTAGTTTAGTCAGTCAGAGAGATGAATTTCAGACTGGCTCCCACCTCCTCAGCTATAGCACCTGATTAAAGCCTTTTTCCCTGGCAATACTTGTATCTCAGTGACTAGCATTCTGTGCAGTGAGCAGCAGGACCTAGACCAAACCCTTGCTGTTTCAGTAACACCTCTTGGACTCTACCTCTGAATTCTGATCATATCACCAATTCCTGAGAACCTCTTGTTCTGAAATCCTACTCCAACCTCCCCTCTCAAAAATCCCCAAGTTCTACTCACTAACCTTGCATCATGCAGATGGTTAAAACCCCTGGAAAATTAGGATGAAGTTCTATACTGCAAATACTGATGGGCTGTCTTTATTTTTTTATGTTGCTGCAATGAAACAAGGTTTGCTCCTCAACTCTCATCCCACTGCTGCTATGACAGAGAACAGCTCAGTCTTTAATGTATCAGTCCATTCCTAGAACAAACAATCATCCCACAATTTCATTGTCTAAAGGCTCTTCCCAAGGCAGGATGGCACAGTTGCTAACCTTGGAGTTAGCAACCTTGACAGTTGCTAACCTTATGGCTAGATTGTCTGGGTTCAAATCTCATGTCCACTACTTATAAGCACCAGCATTTTTGGCCAGTAGTCATTCTTCAATATTCCCAGCTAAAAATGTAGATGATACTAATACTGTCTACCTCATAAGGTTGTTTTGAGGATTGATATAGTTTGGATCTGCTTCCTCACACAAATCACATGTCCAATGGTAATCTTCAATGTTGGAGGTAGGGCCTGTTGGGAGGTGACTGGATCCTGGAGGCAGAGTTCTCATGAATGGTTTAGCACTGCACCCGTTGGTGCTGTATAGCGAGTGAGTTCTCACGAGATCTTGTCATTTAAAAGTGTGTAGCACCTCCCCTCCTCCTCTCTGTTGCTCCTGCTCCAGCCATGTAAGACATGCCTGCTTCCTCTTCACCTTCCATCATAATTGTAAGTTTCCTGAAGCCTCCCAGAAGCAGAAGCTGCTGTGCTTCCTGTACAGCCTGTAAAACAATGAGCCAATTAAACCTCTTTTCTTTATAAATTATCCAGTCTCAGGTATTTCTTTATAGCAGTGCAAGAATGAACTAACACAGGGATTACATATATATCTTGTAGGCCAGTGTCTGACACACATTTATCGATATTATTCTCAGGTTGGAGTTTTACAGTAAGATTGACTTGGCCAGAATTATATTCCTAGAACAAGTGAGCATCTGGTCACTCCTCTTTAGTTCCCAATATGAGGAAATTTCTTCCTTGTCCCTCTTCTTTTCCCAGCTTATAATATACATCATTCTAGATAATGTCTTTGTTATTTTCTTTCCCTATTGATTTAATTTACTTAAAATTGAAATTATTTCTTAATAGTGTCTTTCTGTTGCTAAGAATATCTGTGGCGTTCCTCTGTGATTCTGGGACTGTGGACACTTTGTCCTTCATCCCCTACTGTGATATATCTAGTTCACCCTCTCTGCTTCAGTTCTTTTTTCTTTGGCTTCTTTTTTCAGTTACAATGTGCCCAACCTACCCAAGCCACCGGCTTTCAACTCCTACCGCAGCCAGGAAATTATCATTTCCCCTTATAATATTTTATTCATGCTTTTGAAATATAGAACTGACTTTTTAAAAACCACTCTTACCATACTTAAAAAAAATTGGTACTATCCATTGATATTTTAATTGAGGACTCCAGGTTGTTCCCACATTTAAAATTACTTTTTAAAACATCAGATAGTTTCTGAAACTGGAAATAAAAAGATAGAGTTTAGGCAAATTAAGTCCTGAAATAAAGAAACCAAACCACATACTGCAACACAAGGACAGGAAGATGAGGACTGTATTTTAGATTCCCTCTAAGATACAGCAAAAGAAAAGTGACATGGACTACAAGTTAAACTGTATCAGTAAATATTACCTCTGAAGGTCACTCTGACTCAGATTGTTTCTCCCACCGGCACACTTTTGGAAGGTATTTCCTGCTGAGTTGTAACTTAAAGGAACATGTTCCTTTGGGTAGAAAAGTATGGAGAAGATGCAATTTGGGGAGAGCACATTATTTCTAAGAGCTTTGCAGAGCAATGAGCTGCTTTGATTCACCCATAAATGACTCACCAGTAAAACTCTTTAAATTCCAGAATGGCCAGGTCTATGGTCTAAAACTGCCCCCAAACAATGTTTTTCTTTTTCAGCCTCCTCTCATTTCAACTTTTACCCACTTGTCTACCATAACAGTGTTTGTCAGATATACTTCATCTTTTAATGGAAACATCCCCACCACCATGCCTTGGTATACCAAACCATGATGGGCATGGGTTAGGAATGATGGAAACTGCCTGAGTGAATAGCAACCTGGACATGTGCCCCAAAACAGATAACTGAGCCCTTTAGTCAGTTTCAAAGTGTGTTCATACATGGCCAATGTGTGCCCATGCCCATTCCCCCCCAACCCCTACCACTACTTTACAAGGAACTTTTTCATTTTGCAGTAGACTAGGAGTAATCTTGGCCCCTGGGTTGGTCACCCAGTTCCATCAGGTGCACCACTTTATTTTTCAGTTAATAGGGCCTTTTTAAGAATGAGATTGAGCAATTAAAAAAGATTAGTTTACTTGGGAGGCGAGGGGAATGTTGGCGAGAGCCAAGGTATACAATAATTGGAATTTAAGGCCTGATGGCAAACTTAGAAGGAAATATGAGAAACTATAAATGTGAAATGCTGGATATTGGTTTGCACTGAGACAGGAATAAATAGAAATTAATTTCTTAATTAACAAATGAACCTGGAGAACTGGACTAACAGACCAAATGCCCTGGTAGATAGTTGAAAGTATAAAGAAGCAAGGGAGCTCTGTGAAGCCATGAGGCAGAACAGAGTGTGACCAATGTGGAAGATGAGAGGGAATAATTGAGGAAAGACTAACAGCTGCATTCGTTTCCAAGTGCTGCTGTAACAAATTACCACCAACTGGATGGTTTAAAATAACACAGACTTACTCTCCTACACTCTTTGAGGTCAAGAGGACTAAATGAGTCTCGCTGGGATAAAGTCAAGGTGTTGGCTGGGCTGCATTCTTTCTGGAGGCTTCGGGTAGAGCCCATTTCCTTACCTTTTTCAGCTTCTGGAAGCTACCAGCACTCTTTGCTGCCTTTTCTTCCATCTTTCAGGTCAGCAATGGCCAGTTGAATCTTTCTCACATTATATATCATTCTGACAGTTCTCTGCCTTCCTTTTCTTCACCTAAGAACTGTTGGTTACTTTGGGACCTCCAAACTAATCCAGGATGATCTTATTTTAAAGTCAGATAATTAGCAATAATTAATTCCACCTGCCACTTTAACACCCCTTTTCGATGTAAAGCAATATATTCATAGGATCTGGAGACTGGGGGTGGGCATCTTTGAAGGGGTGATTGTTACTCTGCCTACCACAACCCTTTTAAAAAGCATTAAGAGAATAATGATTGCGTGATAGAAGAAAATTTCTATTCAGAGAGTAGTGAAATAAAACCCCACAAGTGTAACTCAAAAGTCATCTTAAATTAGAAGTTATAAATTTATATGACTTTAAAAACTATCTTCACAGAGGAACTCTATCAGAACACACATTATGTTCTAATTCAGAATCATTTTAATGTCCTCCATTGAAGGGAAGACTTGACCTCTTTGGTATCAACCCATTAATTGGGACAAAAACCTTGAACAGAGATTACTAAATCCACTCATCATTCAAGGAATAATTCAAGCATGACCTTCCTTAAGGAAGAAGCTCTCCCTACTCCCCAGGCAGAATTAATTTCTCTTTCTTGGATCACTGTCTCTTGTGCTCTCCTTTCTAATGGTACTTATCATTCTGTAATGTAATTTCCTGTTTTTATGCCTGTCTCCCTATAGGATGATGAGGTTCTTTTGAGGACAGGGACCATGACTTACACAACTTTGTATTCGAAGCACCGACCATAGCGACTAACATAAGGAAGATATTCAATGTGTGTATTGAATGAAAACCTGTGAGGTGATCAACAGGATTCTAAACTTCAGTCTTAGGGAATAAAACTAGATAACGACAGCTTTCAAATTAGAATAATGCACAATAAACTTCTAGGTTCTGGGGAGGCATTTGAAAGGGAGAGAACCAGGTAAATGGTAGAAAATAAGAAATGAAGAACATTTTCCTGTAATTGACTGCAGATTTAAAAAGCAAGGTCAAAACACAGACAAGAAAGTTTATCTGCTATGATTTTATACATTTTCAACCACATTTAGCATCTAAATGAATGGCACCCAAAAAGCCCACCAAAACTACAGTTCCAGGAAGAGGACTTGGATACTATATTATTTTTGCAAGCAGACATAACTCTCAGTCAGTTGATATACATTTAAAAAATGTTTTTAGACACAATTTTCCATTATACTTCATGGAAAATTTTAACACTCAGTATAGCTGACGAGGAAGGAGAGAACATTTTTGAACTGCTTTCATCCTCCCTAAAAACTCAAGATGGATTTTGAAGTTTCATGACTTCCAAGTTACACTCGGGAGAAAAGGAAAACTAAAACTCTAACCTAGCTCTCTGTAAGAGAATATAGAAGACAGAGGCCAAGTTAAGACAAGAAGATGTAGTCTAATGTGTTTTCAAGTTTGTTTTTCCTCACACCAAAATCTTTTTGCCAAAATCCTTTTCCGTTTATATGAGTTTATTCTCCCACTGCTGTAAACAAATACCTGAAACTGGATAATTTATAAAGAAAGGAGGTTTAATCAGCTTGTGGTTCTGCTGGCTGTCCAGGATTCTGCTTCACGGGATGTGTCAGGAAACTTACAATCATTGTGGAAGGGAAAGGGAAAGGCAGGCACGTCTTCACATGGCTGGCAAGGGGGCAGGGGACAGAGGGTGCTACTGACTTCTTTTAAACAAGCAGATTTTGTGAGAATTGTATTACAAGACAGCATTAGGGGAAGAGTCCTAAACCTTTAGAAACTACCCACCATGATCCAATCGCTTCCCACCAGGCCCCTCCTCCCATACAGATTACAATTCAAGATGAGATTTGGGTGGGGATACAAATCCAAACCATATCACCCATCAAGAACATGGTTGTTTTATTCCATATGTAAGTTTGTTTTAATCTTTGTTAAGGGTAACTTCATTTTGATTCTCCATTTATGAGCCAAGGAAATTACAGTAAAGTTACAGTAGAGAATTAGTAAGCTCATTTTTTTCCACCTTCCTATCATGACATACCATGACCAACAGCCAGCTGGAAAGGGTAAGTGAACAGGGGGACCACAGGAAAAACAGGATGAGTTTCCAGGAGCAGAGAGATGGTAAGAATATGTGTACATGAGAAAGGTATGCAGAATTGGGAAGGAAAAAGCAAATAAATGTCATCCAAAAATTTACGGTATTTTAAGGGCAGGCAAAAAAAAAAAAAAAAAAAAAAAAGGAGGCCAATAAAGCAATTGATAAGGATAAACTGAAAAGGTGGGAAGAGAATTATGAGAACATTGTCAAGGAAACCATTAAGAATAATATTTCAAGGAGCTAGTCAGTATCACCAAATGCTGCAAAGAAATCAACATATGATGTGAAGTAAGTGAAATGTACCAAATATTTCTATTGTCCATAGCACACAAGTAAAAATTAGCTTCTAGAAATATTAGAATCTTTATCCATAAAGATTAAGATAAGGATATATGTATTTATGAATATATGTATTTCGGATAAGGATGGAATCTGAGAGAGGGCTTTTTTAAGCATAAAGCCCTCTCTCAGTTTCCATCCTTATCCTAAATACATATATTCAAACATATTCATATCTGTTGATCACTAAAAATGTACTGGGGTCAGTTTTGATAACTGTTCAAGTAGGTAAAAGGAAGAAAGACAGAAAATGCAACTCTCCTTGTTATTTCCATTTACATGAAGATCAGTGGACCAATTGGATCCATTGATTTGGAACGAGAAGCAACTGAAGCATTCAACCACAAAGCTGAGGGTTA